GATCAGATGGAGGACCTGCGCCTAGACATGACCACAAAGCATGTAGTCAGCCGGATCCGGGCCGTATCCACATCAGATGGAGGACCTGCGCCTAGACACGACCACAACACATGATGTAGTCAGCCGGATCTGGGCCGTATCCAGATCAGATGGAGGACCTGCGCCTAGACACGAACACAGCGCATGATGTAGTCAGCCGGATCTGGGCCGTATCCAGATCAGATGGAGGACCTGCGCCTAGACACGACCACAACGCATGATGTAGTCAGCCGGATCCGGGCCGTATCCAGATCAGATGGAGGACCTGCGCCTAGACACGACCACAACGCATGATGTAGTCAGCCGGATCCGGGCCGTATCCATATCAGATGGAGGACCTGCGCCTAGACACGACCACAACGCATGATGTAGTCAGCCGGATCCGGGCCGTGTCCAGATCAGATGGAGGACCTGCGCCTAGACACGACCACAACACATGATGTAGTCAGCCGGATCCGGGCCGTATCCATATCAGATGGAGGACCTGCGCCTAGACACGACCACAACGCATGATGTAGTCAGCCGGATCCGGGCCGTATCCATATCAGATGGAGGACCTGCGCCTAGACACGACCACAACACATGATGTAGTCAGCCGGATCCGGGCCGTATCCAGATCAGATGGAGGACCTGCGCCTAGACACGACCACAACACATGATGTAGTCAGCCGGATCCGGGCCGTATCCAGATCAGATGGAGGACCTGCGCCTAGACACGACCACAGCGCATGATGTAGTCAGCCGGATCCGGGCCGTATCCAGATCAGATGGAGGACCTGCGCCTAGACACGACCACAACACATGATGTAGTCAGCCGGATCCGGGCCGTATCCAGATCAGATGGAGGACCTGCGCCTAGACACGACCACAACACATGATGTAGTCAGCCGGATCCGGGCCGTATCCAGATCAGATGGAGGACCTGCGCCTAGACACGACCACAACGCATGATGTAGTCAGCCGGATCCGGGCCGTATCCATATCAGATGGAGGACCTGCGCCTAGACACGACCACAACGCATGATGTAGTCAGCCGGATCCGGGCCGTGTCCAGATCAGATGGAGGACCTGCGCCTAGACAAGACCACAACGCATGATATAGTCAGCCGGATCTGGGCCGTATCCAGATCAGATGGAGGACCTGCGCCTAGACACGACCACAACGCATGATGTAGTCAGCCGGATCCGGGCCGTATCCAGATCAGATGGAGGACCTGCGCCTAGACACGACCACAGCGCATGATGTAGTCAGCCGGATCCGGGCCGTATCCAGATCAGATGGAGGACCTGCGCCTAGACAAGACCACAACACATGATGTAGTCAGCCGGATCTGGGCCGTATCCAGATCAGATGGAGGACCTGCGCCTAGACACGACCACAGCGCATGATGTAGTCAGCCGGATCCGGGCCGTATCCAGATCAGATGGAGGACCTGCGCCTAGACACGACCACAACACATGATGTAGTCAGCCGGATCCGGGCCGTATCCAGATCAGATGGAGGACCTGCGCCTAGACACGACCACAACACATGATGTAGTCAGCCGGATCCGGGCCGTATCCAGATCAGATGGAGGACCTGCGCCTAGACACGACCACAACGCATGATGTAGTCAGCCGGATCCGGGCCGTATCCAGATCAGATGGAGGACCTGCGCCTAGACATGACCACAAAGCATGTAGTCAGCCGGATCCGGGCCGTATCCACATCAGATGGAGGACCTGCACCTAGACACGACCACAACGCATGATGTAGTCAGCCGGATCCGGGCCGTATCCAGATCAGATGGAGGACCTGCGCCTAGACATGACCACAAAGCATGTAGTCAGCCGGATCCGGGCCGTATCCACATCAGATGGAGGACCTGCGCCTAGACACGACCACAACGCATGATGTAGTCAGCCGGATCCGGGCCGTATCCAGATCAGATGGAGGACCT